GTTAGAAACTGAGACAAATTTTCTAATAAAAGGGTAGATCGATGGAAATATGGAAAAAAAGTGGAACTCATTGAAATTCATAATTTTTCTTCATTTTATTTCTTATTTTTGTTTAAACTGAAGAATTTTTTTCGCATTTCTTTTTAATTCTTTATAGCAAAAATGTTCCTTAAACAGTATGTTTGCATAAAATATTATTTTCAAAGAGCGAAATGAAATTAGCAATTATCGATAAACGATTATTTCATCTTTCTAAAATATCAAAAAAAGATTTGCCTGTTGTTGCTAATCGTTAAATTAACATTAAAATTAGCATTATTAATCAAAAATATGAGATTAAACCAAACTCTCAGCTAATGATTAAATAAAACTTTTTCAATTCATGTTTTTTTTTTCATTTATTGATCGAAATTTCGCATTTAATTCATTTAATTGTTCGAAATTTAGCATCGTAAATGATAGAAAGCAGTAACAGTTTGTGAAATAATTGTATATTATCGACCATATGTTCTTGTGAAATGATTGCATATTATCGACCATATGTCCGAGTAATTATCCGATTTGTGGTATGTAATGGGTTATATTATGATAAACTATTAGATTATAATAAATAGTGATAAGATAAATGATAATGAACACAATGATCTAAACAGTAACACTAGCATGAAGTACACTGCACAATGACACCGCCAAACAAGCACCACCGAAAAGATCGACAGTGTGATGAGAACTGATGGAATACGTATGTCTGTATGCGTGTGTGTGTGTGTGTGCGTGCGTGTGTGTGCGTGTGCGTGTTTATAAATATTATCTCAGCTGCATTAATTTTTTACATTTGGTGTGCAAATTGTTATGTTAACGAAGTTTCGCTTTTGATCATATCAATAAATTTCCTAACAAATAATATGCAAATGATAACAATTAATAAGATGGATAAAATTTTTTTCAACAATTTGTCATTGACAACGAATAATAGATTTGATAATATCCAAACAATATCACTGACTGTATATTTCGATGAACTGATTTATCAAAATAAACGAATTCAATAATGGTTTACATTAAAGGATTTCCTATTTGATCAGTGCCAAAAAGAAGGAAGAAAAAATATCCGACGTAGCTGCGTGTAATTGCAGCATGATGAGAAATAGCATGCAGCGTAGTAATACGTCTGACTTACTGAATAAATGAATGACTAACATTATTAAAGTAACGATTTAAAATTTGATATTTTCTTTTTCATCGCAACAAATATTATTTCATTTGTTAATAAATTGAGCCAACAATAATGTTATTCTCACAGAACATCATTTTTGACATCATTTGAAATGATATTAAATATAAAAAATGCCGACAAATGAAATGAAAATTGAGTACAAATCTAAATATTTGTTACATTCATTTATGTGTTAATAGCATTTTACAACCAATAACGAAGTATAATTCACTGATTAATTCAATCGATTTAGTCATCCGATCATGCTATAAAAAGGTTAAATTTTAGTTTCGGAAAAGAAAAAGAAATTAATATCAAATAGTTCCAATATGGTCAAATTGAAAACAATAACCAATTCATTGGTTTCTAGGACGAATGAATTATATGCCGAGAATAAATATAAAAAAAGACATCTTAATTTTGAAGGTCAAAGGTTAGATTAAGAAATTGAAAAGAAATGAAAGAAATGGTTAAAATAGTTTATGGCTTATTCCATTTCATTACACCAATTGTGTGGGATTTTTTCCTCAACTGGCAAATGAGCGTTACACAATGACATCTTTTATTACGTCTTAATCCTAAAGCTCAAAAGTTAAGCTAAAAAATTCGAAAAAAAATTTTTTTTTTGATTGTTTTATATGTTTTGCATATGGATATTTATTTGAATGTATGTGAATTAACATTTACGTCCATCTCATGCGTTCGTACGTAATGTAATAACGTCGAATTCTTAATATAACAAGAAGCTGTAATATATATGAACCAGAAATCAATCCCGTCGTGCTCTCACAATCTTTCTAATTGCATCAATGATACAAGTAGCATAAAGTATGCAAAAAGAAAATTATTTCACTTTAAAGAGAAAAAGGAAAAATTCATAGCAGTTAAAATTTTATAAAAATATTTAACAATTCAAAAATTCGCAACAGTTAAAATGTTATAAAAATACTTAACAATTCAAAATTTTCGTTGTAAGAATACTTCAAAGGAAGAAAGGATAGCATAATATGTGAGAGTGGATAAGAAAGAGTTTTAAAAAAGGATTTTAGGATTTTTTCATTTTTACAGGCTGAAAACCGGTCGTGTCATGTTGGCATTGCGTATATTTTCGTTTTTTTTTTTTAAATTAACGCGACAATATTTTGGGGCATTTTTTACACATTCATCAATCTTTCATTGTGTTCCATATTTTTTACCATTTTAAAAGAGTAGGCTTTTAAATATGCAAATTTCAATCCATTATTGATAACTTCAACAACTCTCTTGTTTCGTTATATAATCGTTTATTAACAGTAAGTTAATTAAAAATTATCACTGAAGCATCATTTTTTGACAAATAATATAGAGAATGAAACAATAATTTAATAATAGTCAAATTTTGCCTAAGGATAATCAATAACTTGCATACTTTAATGCATACATTTTTGCTTGTAAATTCATCTGAAATGAAATTAATTCTTTTTTTGCATATCTAAAGAATAGTAATTAATTAACCAAAGAGTGCTCTATGAATGCAACTTCCGCTTCATCAAGCATTTATAAATTTTTTCCCATCCTTTTTTGCTTCATATATTTTATTGACGGAATGAAAATAAATTCTTTTTTGTAGCTAAAATTTACGACGTGATCATTCTATCTAATGTAGCACTGAATTAAATAAATTTAATTGAATTAAATTAGTATAAAAATGGATTGTTACAATTAAAACCAAAAATATATGCCAAAAATTAGTTCTTGTAAAATGCTTTATAAAACATGCAAAAATATTTCATTCATACGCAATATTGCAGGAAAACAGGAGGAAACAGATAAAAAAGGAATAAGAAAAATGTTGATAGGCAGACAGAAAAGGAATAAAAAAATACGTAATGGAAAAAAAGGAAAGGAAAAGAAGGAAGTAAGAGGGAGAGAGAATTTCAAGTTAAAAAAAAATAAAAACAAATCACTTTGAATTAAAATGAAATACAAAAAGTGAATATGCCAAAAATAAAACAAATGCTCCTTTTCGGTATCGAAACGACAAATCAACGATTGGTACTGTCCTGGAAGTAAATCGTGAAATGCGACGATGAATGAGAAGAACGCAGAAATATCGCTATAATCTATTCGTGTGTTAAGAAATTACTATAATATTCCGTAGAAAATCACTGTAACAAATAATCATTTATAAGGAATCGCTATACATTCGTTTTATCCATTAATGCTTTTGCGATACAATATCATTTCTGCAAATAAGCCAACTGAAATAATTGTTATTTCAATTAACTGAAAAGGTCAAAAATCCAAAAATGAAATACGAAAATAATTATCACAATAAATTATTATAATGAAGTAGCATAATTTGTAATTTTCATCATTATATTATTTTTAATTTTAGTTCTGCTTCAATAATAGTGTAAATTGTCCATTTATAATATTTGCTTTTTACAATCGTATTCTTCATTTATAACAATAAATCTCAGCACAATTCATTGTCTTTTTTTAAGATAATTTCTGTAATTAAGAATGTAGTATCAATGAAAATTGCGATTATAAGCTTTCTTTCATTTAGAAAGGTCATTATGATCATATTTATTATAAGAATAAAAAATGCATTAGTATGATTTGAAAAAAAATGAAAAAAGCAAACCAGAAAAGAGAAAATTTCAACTGCCTAACAATAATTTAAAATTTCAGAAAGGAAGAAAGTTTTAAAACTGAAACAAATGTAAAATTAAAGTTGAATAAATTTTGCAATATTTAACAAGTGAAATTTTTTTATTAAAACTTTTTTAGTTTGTTGATGAAATGCGAAAAAACATTTTTTTTTTGTATGAAACAGTAAACTCAATGATTTATTTTTGTTTTTCTTTTTTTTTTTTATTTTTGTGAATGAACCTTAAAATAATGTGTTATAAAAATAGAAATCAAATGTCTGCTGAGCAATTTCCGAACAAATAAAAAAATAACTACAAACTATTGATGAGTTAAAAGAGAAAGATGGAGAGGAAGAGATGGAAAGAGGGAGAAGAAGAAATGACAAATTTGACACCATAACAAAATTTATAAAAAGTATTCACTAAGAATTTGATCACCAATAATAATTTTGTATAATTTACATTGAAATTTGAAACTTTATTATAAACGAGTTTTATTTCCATTAAATTTCAATGAATTCAATAAATTTTGTTAGTATTCGATAAATAAGTAAACAATAATTTAGTTACTTTTTTTCAGTACGAAAACTAAAATTTCAAAAACTAACCAGTCTATAAGGCGCTTACGGCAAATATTGCTGCCTCACTTTTGCATATATTTTTATATATCAATAAAATCAACAAAAACATTAAACTAAACTTTGAAAAAAATCGTCAATTTTAAATGTTAATAAGTGATTCTCTTCTTTCTTGCAGGTGTACTCAAAATTTAGTAGTTTTCATGTGTTAATATTGATGAATTTGTAATAACACTTTTCAAATATCAAAGAGATCCGGAATTCCGGATGACATCATAATTTAGGGAGGGATTGGAATGTTGCACAGTGTGACGCTTTGTGATGAGGAATGGTCAAATCATTTCAGTTCGTGAGTGAGGTCATGGAGAGGGTAAGCGGTGGAGGGGCAGGCGTTGACCTTTGACCTTGCACGATTTAATTTTTTTCTTCTTATTGGTTGTAAGTTGTTATTTGTCTGCTTCATCTTACAGCTAAAAATTTCAGGTAGCTGTAAGTTTTCCGCAATGGTATTCATATTGTGAACAATAAGATGACGAGTCGAAGAGTATATTTATCATCAAGACGTAAATAATGAATAGTGGTTTCATCACAAACAATACTCAAAAGGGGGTTATTACCCGAATATTGGGCAATTTAATTACTGTCTGGCCTCTTAATGTTCATCAGAAAAAGGCACTCATCTTTCAAGATAAAGCACCGATATCATCACAGTATTTAAAAGTTGGTGATTGGATTCAAATGGAGGTGGAACGTGATGATGTGGTCGTCTATCGTGAAAAAATTGAACCCGTACTGCAAACATTGGTTACATCACGCGGAAATGTACAGGTATTACTTTTTAATGTTTTTGATTCATTGAAATTTACGCAAAGTTTTGATAGTTAGATAGCTACACATAATTACCAGTAGAATAACATAGTCTCATGTTTATACTGTAATGTTTTATAAAGTAGTAAAGAAGTTTATTCTTATTCCGTTGATTGTCAGTAATTGCTGCATATTAATTCCGTTAATAATTTTAGGTGAAGACAATTCTGTATTTTCCAAATGGAATAAATAGAAACAATGAGCACGTGATTGGTTATTCTGATGATTTAGGAGAAGTGGGTATCTTTTTTCAGTGTCCTGAATTGAGAGCTGACTCTTTATATAACGTCTGGGTATCAAGGTTAGTTGATTGGTTCATTTTTCTTCATATAGACTAAAGAAAATCGAAAGGACATCAAATGGAGAGGAAAGTTGACCTGCAATGATATTATTAAGTTTTTTATTTGTGATTAGAAAGATGAAATATACTTCAAAAACACTTAAAATATGAAAAAGTTGAAATACGTTCAATGGTTATTGATTGTGGATTGTTTTATTTGCTATTCTTTTTTAGACCTCGCAAAAATTTTGCATCGTTAGAAAAGCGGTATGATGTGCATTGGTGTCTTGTAAAGCAAACGATGATTCCGTTAATGCAGAATGATAATACAAGATGTTTGTGGGAAAATCGATCAGTTGATTATAATTCCGAACATTTCAATAATACGTTAACAGAAAGTAACGTAAATTCACGTGAAATCGAATTTTCATATGTGAGTTTTTCGTTATTTGGTCAATTGTTGTGAAAGTATACAGTTTGAGATACGGGGTTTCATGTCACTTTTTGATGAATGTGTTGCGCTTTTCACGCTTGTTTTTCTTTTCTGTTTTTATCAAGATAGACAGTATTCAGAAGTTCTTTCCAGCGTAATAATTAATTATTTTTTAGGCGCTAAGTTTTAACGATAACGCTCTGAGAAGATTATACAGTGATCCAAAAGTACGCGAAGCAGTTTACCGATGCAGCAGCGATCTTGCTCACTCAATCGAAGCTTACTTGAGGATATCTCGTGATTGATTCCTGCTCAGATGTTTCGTTTTCTTTTTTTTTTATAAATATGAAGCTCGTGATCTTTACAAAATCTTTATTTGGCGATATTTTCAACTTTGAAAATGCTCTTTTTTGGTATTTGATATTTGACATATCATCTGTATTATTCACATTTTTCTGTACGGGTTATTACTGTTAGTTCATAAGTAATGCTACATCAATGTCATGTCTGAATATGACTAAATGACTAAAGAAACAACTAATAACTGTTCTTAAAAGGGATATTGATTTCATAATTATAGGTTTAGAAGAACATTTCTGTAGCACTGTCACACTTTATTAATGTGTTGTTTGAGGTTTCATCGCTAATAATTGTTTTCATAGAAAAGAATAAATGAGATAATGAAGTGTTTTTTCTACATAATAAAAGAATGAAAGTGAAATTCATTAAAAAGCATGCGCCATTAATGAATATTATATTCTGAACCAGTAAGTTGGTCACTATACTGTAATTTGTAGCAATGAACGAACTATATGCTTTTGCTATTGCTTTATGCTCCTACAATTACGAAATATTTACCTTATAAATGAAATATATTTCATTGAGATGACATATTTTTTACCTAAATTACAATAGTGAATGAAGTTAGACAGTCGAAATTGTGCTTTTTAAGTTTTTTGGAACTTATTTGTCAGGAGATGTTTCATTTTTCATCTGCAAGAAAAATATTGTGCCAATAATATTTAGTTATATACGTGTGTCTATTGTTATTGTC